AAAAAAAAAAAAAAAAAAAAAAAAAAAAAAAAAAAAAAAAAAAAATAAATAAAAATAAAAAAAATAAATAAAAATAAAAATAATAAAAATAAAAATAATAATAATAATAAAAATAAAAATAAAAAATAAAAATAATAATAATACCTCTTCATTGGGTTCATTATTATAACATTGATCTGATGCACCTGATGCACTTTCGTAGCCTTCAGATCGAGTGTATTTCTTTTGTTTAGCATCAGTATGAGCGATATTTTCATCATTAAGTTGATCTTCGGCTTTTTCATCGAATTCAGGGATTGCTCCTCTTCTGCTTCTTTTCGGGCCACGTACGATTTTAGGTCCCCTGGATTTTGGTTTTTTATAGTATTTTTCAAGCTCACCAAATACGTTCCCTCTTACGATATCATTATTGTCGTTATGATAATGGTAGTGGTGGTAATGGTAGTGATGGTGAAGGGGATTCGAGCTGGATAACATCGAAGAAGAGACAACTGATCCTACAGGAGAATGGACAGAAGGATCAACGCCCAAGCTATTGAATGTGTTATATGAACCAGGACCAAACGAAGGATTGGGTGACATAATTGGACGAGCGGCAGTACCAGGTATAATATTAGACATATCACCAGTATCAGGTATAATATTAGACATATCACCAGGTTCTTCCATAAAAGCGTTCATAGAACTGGGTTGATTTTCACCCATTTCATCATTGGCAAGCGGCTGGAATGCAGACGTAGCGTAGCTACTAGGATGGAAATAGCCTGTCGTACTTGCTGTCTCGAAATCTTCAATTCGATTTTGCAAACTGCTCACTTCATTACGAGATTCTGAAAGAAGATCACGATATTCGCTAATTTCAGATTTTAATTTATTATTCGCTGAAGAAAGTTCTTTAATAAGAGCGATAAGATGAGAGTTGGCCTCGTTATTAAGATTTTGTTGTGGCGACTAAATAACATGAGTGATAAGCATTTAAATTTGGTTGAATAATTAAATAAAAATGAAATTTAAGAATAAAAAGATTAAAAAATGGATTACAAACTTTTGATTCACGAAGCATAGCTACTGCTTCTAATTTTCCTCTTGATTTTCGAGAACCTTGTTGTTCCTTTTCTAGCTTTTCCAAATTAATACAAAGTTGATCTAAATTCAAAAAAACAATTATGTTAACGCCTACAGCAAATTGAATATAAAAATGAAGGTAAATGTTTGACAGTTAACCATATTTTGCCTGTAATTTTTTTACTTTCGATTCTGCGGCAAACTCCGCTTTCCTTGATACCTGAAGCTCTTGCTTTAAATCTTCCAATTGTCTACTTAACATTTCTTCTCTCTCTTCAATTCGTTCACCCAAAAGGTGATTTGCCATGAGACGCTTAACTTCATTATCAAGTCGTTCAAGTTCATTTGTTAATTCTACAACTCTCTTATCACTGGATTCAAGAGCTTCTGTAAGCGCATCACTTTTCTGTTATCAAATAAAATTTCTCATTAGTCAGATGATGTTATAAAATAGTAATGAAGATGTATCAAGAATATTTTTTTACATTTTCTAAAATATTTTTCTGTCTTGTAGCATCATCTTTTTCTAAGGACAAAGTTCGCTGTGAACTTTCAAGGTCATGCACTAAATCTTCAAGTTCCGCGATTTTCTGCTGATATCGCGCACACTACATGAACGAATTTGCAAAAAAAAAAAAAATATATATATATATATATAAATTAATATTTATATAATGGATTAACATAATAAAGTGTAAAAACACACCTCATTTATATCATATATACTCTTACTTTCTAGTGTGCTTGCTGTATTCAATAATTTCTTCTAGAGGCGATCTCAATGGATAATGAATATTTATATTATTTAATTTAAGAATTATAATATATATTAGTTTAGGTTCAACCATGTAATAAGGTAAGATAATAAAAATAAAAACCTGATGCTCTAACTTTTGCTGGTATTCTTTTATTTCTTCTTGATATACACCTTGCTGCTGTAAAAGTGCTTGCCCAATTTCTGAAATTAGAATAATGTCGGGAATTATTATACAAAGATTTTTTATCTAAAATTTTTAACGATATACATTTACACCATATTATCCATTTTTAGCATCAACCGATCAAACATATATATCAATAATAGAACTTAGAAGTTAAATCAATATCGATTTCACTCACCAGCAGCTAATCTTAGTTGGTCTTCCACGGATTTTATACTTCTTAAAAATGCAGCCAGGTTTGGGCAATCCTCGTCACCACAACAGCATTGAAGGTTCACGGGAGACCTATTGGTAGGTGAGGGAGATAAGGTCTCCAACAATTGAGTACTAGTTTGAAAGTCAACTCGAGGAATACTGTTATTAGGGGCTCGTGACGGAGTGGCAGTTGAATTTTCATCGTCACTCCAATTGTCCTTTGTTTGCTGCTCTTGTTGAGTAGATTCAAGCCGACGAGACAGATCGGTTGGATTTGGTACCATGCCAGCCAGCCGTGAAGTTGAACCTTCAGGACTATGGTAGTCCATATTTTTTTATTGAATTTCCAAGTTCAAAAAAAAAGATTGGGTTATTTAAAGAAATATTTAAAGTAAGATATCTTGCGTTGGGTGGTTGGGTTTGCGGTAGACAGAGACACGTTGGATGTCGGTGAATCTATCACCCCAACGCTAAAAAAAGAAAAAAAAAACTATTTCCTATCCTTCTCAATAATTAGCCTCGTTTTTTTAGATGAATACGTAAATTTAAACTAAATGCTAATATTTGAGTACTTTTGAGTGTATTCAGTTTCCAGATTTGCTCGTGTAACCTATGAAATGGCGCAAACATTGTCAAAAAATTGAATTGTACATGTAAACTGAAGGTCTTGTAACCCTGATTTCGCATGGGTTTGGTCATATCTTTTAAACAATGCGGTCATCAGCTTCAAAGCTAAATTGTCAATTTGCCGATCATCTCTCGATTTCCTGCACATATACACATATACAGTGCGTTCGTTTGATATCGCTAGAATTATAACCTTGAAAAGTTATCATTATTCCTACGAGTTACCAATTCTCGCAGAATTTAAACAAATTTGATTAATTATAAAGTTCAATGGACGTGCTCGGCCACTCCAGGCTGCCATGCTTAGCCCTAAAAAATACTAAAGCATGCAGGGAATTGACAATGTACAGCTATTCTAATCATAATTTTGGAAATGATCCATTCATTTTTTGATTATTAAAGTTTTTTTGTTTTGGATGATAGTAGATTGTAGAAATAGATTTCACCGGATAGCGCAAGTTGTACATGATGTACATGTGAATCAATAAAAATGGATAGATGTGTGAATCAATAAAAATGGTTAACTTGAAGAATAGTTAATTTATATAATATAGATGTCTTTGTTTTTTTTTTATTATTGTCAATCTTGTGATAATAACGGATTGTTTCATTGTTATTTTTCTGTAGAATTCGATAATCAAATAACAACTATGCTGATAAATTTTTGTAAAACATCAAATCAAATATTCAAAGCTTAATTTGGTTTTTCATTTCAATTGACTTTTATAATGTATAGATTACGTAATCAATATAAATAATTTGTCAAACAACTATTGTTCGATGCTTTTATGCTCCAGCATGTTCATAACGATACTGTATATAACTGTATATTATTTATTCTATTGTCATGTTCCTTTCTGGTGAATTATTCACTCCGCTTTAATATTTGCTTTTCTTAGACCTGTATAATAATCTTTATAATTATCGAATTATCGACATTACAGCATTACAAAAACAGGTTTATAAATTCGATGTCATAAAAATTTATTAAATTTATTTAAAATTATTAATTTTTGCTTTATTATTTTTCGCAATTTTATTTTATTTTTAATGGTATTATATAATAAAAAATTAAATATCGAATATTTTTTTAATACGTAATTAAACTAAATATTATTTATTACAAGTCACTCTCGTTATAGTGAAGTGATCGGGCTTCACTATATCGAGAGTGTCTATTAGTAAATTCACTATATCGAGAATGTTTTTATAAACTATCTTACATTTTAGTAAACTCTTACGGTAAGTGGTAGATCGTGGTTAAAGAGTATGCGATAGTCATATCGATAGTTATGTAAAATACTAAATCAATTTATACTAAATCAATTTTAGTAATTCTAATACTATCCCCCTATCAGGGATGGTAAAATTAGAGGTCATTTGCCTTTTTTCAATAAAATTGGGTCATTTGAGGTCATTTTGAAGATCATTTGAGGTCATTTGAAGGTCATTTGAAGGTCATTTGAAGGTCATTTACCATCCCTGATCTCTATCAGAATCAGAATAACTTCGGAGAACTTACATTTCAGGTATATACAATAGTATTACGTGATAATGCGACATACTAGAGATCTTAGCGTTAGCAAAATTGTGTCTGTAGATCATTGTCCGTTTGTTCAACCACGTGATCGACATTACAAAATGATCAGCTATTTGCTACTTTTTCTTATTTATTATAAAAAATTTCAGATTGTAAGCTAGCTATATTTTAACTTAAAAAAAACTATATTAAATTTTTATCAATTTTGATATTTAAAAATTTTTTATAAATATTTAAAAAAATAAACATTTATATAGTAGGTTTTTTAAATACAAACCGTTAAAACTAGCTTTAAAACATGTATTTAAAAGATACTACAATTAGAAAATAATCAATAATATTGTAGTATTATTATAATTATATAATATTTTATTAATATATTTAGCATTAGTATATAATTTATTTTATTTTTTTACTAAATAAATATATAAATTTTTAATAAAAGTTGTAAAAAAAATTGTTATAATATTAATAATAATAAAAATATTAAAATCAATCTAATATTTTTAAGATATAAATAAAAATATTTTTATCCTTTAAATTGTAGACCAACATAGGCAAATTTGCCTGTGTTAATACTATAAATATGTTACTGATCTATTTTTTTAACAATTTAAAATATTTAAATAAAATTTAATATAATAATATTTAAAAATATAGATTATTTTTTTATAGTATTTATTTTTAGATTATATAAAAAAAAATTTTGTTATTTATAAACCAAAAATATACAATTTTAAAAATAATTTTTTAAAAAAAATTTTTTAGTTTATTTATAACAAATTTTTTAAATATTAATTTTAGACATGTAGTTTCTAATACAACTTTATAGTTTGAATAATAGATTATAATTTTAATTATTATAAATCTGGTAATTAACTTGTAA